CTGAGGCACGGAGAGGGCTTTTTTAGGGTCAGAGGGTCAAGCAGAGGGTAGTAGGGTGCTCCAGAAGTTGTCAGGAGCCCCACAGATGCCCGGATCTGTTGGTTATCTGGGATGATGGCTGTGCCTGGGTGCAGATGGTGGCGCCCGGATAGGAGACTTCAAGGCTCCAAAGGGAAGCACCACCTGTTTACACAAATGATGTGTGCCTTCTCCATTTGTTTGGTCACTGCTTTCTCCAGCAAACAAACAGACAGACAGAACTGCTGCTGTTGCCACAGGTAGCATTTTATAAAAACACCTCTCAGGAAGAGGAGGGGGTTGGTAAACAAACAGAAGGTGCACATGCTGTGCACAAAGTGCCAGGCTGCTCACAGTACCAGCAGCCTGGGCATTAGCAGGGCAGCAGGAGGGCTGTCCCACGCACACTCTCTCGGGTCGTAAGTTTCACAAGGTGACTATGCACAGATGCACCGAAGTCTACCAGACCCTGGTGTCCAGGAAGAAGCAGGGCCTCGCAGCAGGCCAGACCTGGATTCACATCCCAGCATCAGCCAGTGTGACCATTGCAGCTTCAAACTGGGAGGGGCTTGAAGCAGTAAACCGGGGTGCGTTATGGGCACACAGGGTGAGTGGGTCTCTCCATCATCTATTAGTTCTGTTACCTGCCAACCAAAGCATCAGGACCCATGTCAGAAGCTGGGGCACCTTCTGACAAGTATGACTGGCGGGGCACCTCGAATGTCTCAGATGAACGATGCCCGTAGTAGAGAAGGCTTTGAAAATGAACAAAATCCTACAAAAAGTTGGTTTGGGTTTAGTAGGACTTTATCCAAGGAGACCCGGTGGTGCTTTCTGGTAAGCACAGGACTGCTAACCACAAGGTCAGCAGTTCAAAATCACCAGCTGCTATGTAGGAGAAAGACGAGGCTATCTGTTCCCCTAAGGGTTTATAGCCTTGGAAGCCCTCTCTAGGGTTGCTGAGAGTCAGAGTCGACCTGGTGGCCGTGGGTTTGGTACCTTGCCCGAATCCCACAAAGAGAAGATGGTCTCCTTGCCCAGAGAGCCAGCTGACCAGTCCTCCCAGCCACACGGCGCCATCTGCCAGCGGTCACTCGGGTCACACATGGGGTCATCCTTCCATTTGTGAGCGACGTCGAGGACTAAGTACTAAAATTGTGAAACTCTGTCACGCACTCCTGAACTGCACCAGTCATATCCCTGCACAGCGGAGTTCATGGTAGGGAAACATCTGAACCCTTTCACTGCCCACGTCTATAACTGCGTGAGCTACGGTTCAGACGTCTTTTTGCTATACAGAGATTTCGACATACGCTGTCCGCGGGGGTTGCCTTGCAGTGAATTTGGGGACAGAGAGCTGGGAGGCCGTCTCCTGGTCATCTTTTTGGACGATGTTTGCTCAGCAGAGCCTCTTCCCTGCTCCGTCCCTGGCCGGCATACCCGTTGCCTCTTACACAAGAAGTTCTTTGAGGCAGAGCAATAATTCACAGATTAACTGTCTCCTGGGAAACACGTCAGTTTACAAATTACCCAGGAAAAGGCTCAGGCCCGAGAGGCCTGTGGGATTAGTCACACCCAAAGCAAATAGAGAAACTTGGCGGAGACTGACAAATGAAGAGCAGACCTGAGGTTCCCCAGCCCCAACACGCAGACAGCAAGTCTGAACGCCCAGCGGCAGACGTGGAAGAACGAATGAAACAGGCCAGTTTTTGTTGTTACATGCCAGCGAGTCGGTTCTGATAAGAGTGACCCCCGCGCACAATGTCCAGTCTGCGTCATGCTCATCCTCGTTGCTGTTTGAGCCCATTGTTGTAGCCACCGCGAGACTAAAACTCAGAACACAACAACAACAACAAACAACCCAAACTCACTGCCACCCAGTGGATGCTGGTTCACAGCGACCCTATAGGACAGCGTAGAACTGCCCCTTTCAAAACTTTCCTCAAAGAAGAAAGCTTTACGGGAGCAAACAGACTCATCTTTTTGGGTGAGCTTACGCTGCTGATCTTGTGGCTCACAGCTCAGGGCAGTACCCACTGAGACCCCAGGGTTCCTACAGCCTAGATTTCTTACATTAGCAGCACGGACTCTCGGACTGATGCACGCTCCACACTTCAAACCCACTGACTGCTTGTCGGGAGAAAGACCAGGCTCTCTAATCCCATCAAGATTCACAGTCTCAGACACCCACCAGGGCACCCTTCGCAGGCCGTTATGAGTCCCAGTCGACTCGATGGCGGGGAGTTTGGCTTTGTGTCTGCAGTGTCTGCGGTGGCAGTAGAGGTGCCCTGGTGGCACAGTGGTGGCTCACTGGGCTGCGATCTGCAAGGCTAGCAGTTCGAAAGCACCAGCTGCTCTGTGGGAAGAGATGGGGCTCTCTACTCCTGTAGAGTTACAGCATTAGAAACTCACAGGGGCAGGTCTACCCTACCCTTTCAGGTCGCTATGAGGCGGCAGTGAGTGTGGGCAGTTTCGGGACAATTCAGGGATCCGCTGAAAGACAGCACACGATCTTTGCAGATCGCATGAGGTCCAGGGGGCAGGGTCTTCACCTAGTCTGGATACCGATCCCCCACTTTCACTCCGGAACTGACAGAGGGTTATTCCAAGTGTGGTCTGAGGACCAGGTGCATCAGCTTGCAGAACGTCAGAGACTTAGGATCCACCCACCCCAAGACCTGACTCCGAGGCTGCAGTATCAGCAGCACCCAGGTGGAGCGAAGTCTTTGAAGCCCTGCTCCGGGTGACCCTGGCACTGTTCCCTGAGGGAGCTCCGTAATAGCAGCCCGTGTCAGCTTAGTCGGTAGGCGACCCCAGCCCCACATTTTACAGAGGGAGAAGCAGGAAGCCACAGGTTTCTGGCTTCAGGAAGCAGAGTTGGGACCAGAGCCCAGGTCTGGTGGTGCTTAGAAGACTCGGGCTGCACGAGAGCCATCTTGTCTGGATATTTTGCCTTCTCCCCGACAGGCCTTCCATCGTTCACTCTTATTTGATAGGGTACTCTGTGCTCAGCACTCTTCCGGGTGTTTGGAATGCATCCGAGAACAAAAAAAGAGTCAAACAACAAAAACATCTGCCTCATGGCGCTAACACTTGAGCTCCCATAGCTATATTGAATCACACAGGTCGTAGGAAGGAGTTACGGTGAGTCCCACAGGCTTGGATGCGAGAGGCAGAGAGAGTGACATGAGCAAAATGGGCCCGTCTCCTCACACGTGGAGAGCCCATGATGGGGGATCTCATGCCCAGTCAGTTCCATACTTGTTCCCCATATGGCCACCGTACCGATGGAGCCCAGAAGGTGGCACACCACAGGCCCAATCCAGTCCGGCCCCTGTTTTGGGAAATAAAGTTTTCCTGACCATAGTCGCACACACTGGATGACAGAGTGGAGGGCTACTTTAATATCGCCGTGGAAGAGTTGAGGAACAGCAACAGAAATTGGCACACAGAGTCCAAAATACTTGCTTTCTGGTCCATTTGCTGATCCTTTGCACTAAAACATTGCCAAGCAATTGAATCTTATCTCAGAAAAACGGCCAAAGAATATGGATAACAATATAATTAAATGTGAACCCTCCGATTCCCTCCACCCCTTTCCACCTAGAAGCCTGTCTGCCTCTATACCCGTCCTTACCTTCATCTCT